TGAGTCAACCCTGAGCCGGTGAGATTTGAACCGCTGACCTGCTGATCTAGCAGTAGCCTGCAGTGCTGCATTTAACCACTGCGCCACCTTGGCCCCACAACTCACACAGCCCTTCCAATCCCACGTACCATTGGTAGGTGTCTAGTCCAATGACAACCACGCTGAAAGATACTGTAGAAGGATCTTCCAAATGGTGAAAGGGACACAGATGAATAAGATCTGCTGTACACTGCTGGCCATCAGGACTTGAATTCTAGAATTGGATGATTTTAGAATCAAAAACTCATCACCTCCTTTAACACACGAATGTAAAAACTATGTTGGATTCCACTGGTGAAGAAACTCCAACCTCACATGTGTTTGCATTAATTTTCTTAGACAGAAAAGACAATATTAAACTCCCAGGTAACTCTACTGGAGTCATTTTACCAATGGTTATCAATAGTATGAATTTGCTATTTTGAGGTTGGAATATTGTGATGGATTCTTAGCACAAATACTGTCACAGTTGTTTGTTATTTGAACCTTCTTCCTTTGTGTTAATGCCCACCACTTGGCTATCTTTCTTCAGTAGTTGAATATATTTTTGTTCAATTTCCAAGTGCCGGATTTTGAATGTTTTTTACTTTTAAAACAATTCATGAGGTTCTAATCTTCCCTGAATTAAATCTTTCCTGAATTAAAACCAGACTGGATTTTTAAATATGTATATCATATTTTTTGGAGGATAAGACACACCTTTTTCCCTCAAAAAAGGCTGAAAATCTGGGTGCGTCTTATACACTGAATACAGCATTTTTTGCCTCCCAAAACTCTGCCCTTTCACCAAAATGGCTGCAGAGCCTGTAGAAGGCTTCCAGAGATCTCCTGGGGGCTGGGGAAGGCAGAAATGAGTGAAAAACAGGCCATTTTTTGCTCAATTTTGCTCCCCCCCCCAGCCCCCAGGAGCACTCTATAAGCCTCCTACAGGCTCTGCCTGCATTTTTTTTTGGACAAAAAAACGGGCTTGTTTTTGCAAAAAACGGGGCATTTTTTTGCTCATTTTGGGGAGCCCTCCCCAGGAGCACTATGCAAGCCCCCTAAAGGCTATTCATGCCTTATTTGGGGGAAAAAAACAGGCCCATTTTTGTGAAAAATGGGCTGTTTTTGAGAAGTTTGCAGAGTGCAAAACCTTTTTTTAAAAAAATTTGCCTCTTCAAAACCTTGGTGCGTCTTATACTCCGAAAAATATGGTACATACAGGAGTGGCCACTTGAAAATCGCAACTATGGTATGCCAGTATCTATTAAATCCCACTCACAAATTAGATCAGTAAACTGATGGCAGAGCAGGGATACCCTTTTACTCACCTGGCTGAGTCTACGCAGTGTAGGATTTTTGTAATGTAAGAAATAAAATTTATTCTACCATACTTTTTTTTTTCACCATATGCCTTGGCTCACCAATTTTCCCCCCTGCTCACCTTTTTTTGCTTAATGATTCCAGTACTGTCCTCTTGGATTCTGCCTGCTGCCAATCTAGCTTTCTATTGCATTTCCTCTCAATTATTAAGCTTCATCTCCCTAGGTGTCTGGAAATAAGATGAAACTCTGAAACACACCATTATCTGCTCCTCCTCCTCCTCATCATATAAGGCATAGCAAGCAGAGAATCAAGGCAAACTCTGGCAACGAGGAGCCAGTAAAAAATGAAGGAAAATAGCACAATTAAGCAACTGGGGGGTGGGGGTGGGGAACCAATACTTTCCATTCATATTCGTATTCACAAGTTAAAATACTGTACAGCACCTGCATTGATGAAAGCTGTCTGAGGAAGTATGAAGGCTGCATCACTAGCAGGACCTCCCTTTCCACTGCAGTCTCTTCCTGACAATTGTCCTGCGGAAATAAAATTAAACTTTTGCCAGAAGAGAAAAAAAGTTTTGGTAGCTCAAACTAAAAACTTACTAAACCCAGCATCCGCTTCCAATGGTGATTTGCAGAAGTAGGGAAGAGATCCTTAAGGTGCTCTTAGCTTACGTTCCTCTTTTACCTTATGCTTGCATTCTCTTGCCTGTCCTCAGGAAGTTCAAAACATTTTGTTTTAAAATTCATTCATAGACCAGCTCACATCCCAGTTTTTAGTGCAAGACTCTAAAGATCTCACCCATTTATAGCAACAACAGTTGCTATAAAAAAAATGATAAAAAACAACGTTCTGATGAAACGTTTCACTGCCCTCTCCTCCTACAAATCAGTAACCTTTAGTCGGTTAAAGCTAAGATTTTAATTATATGGGTTTTAGATACTAGGAAGTTTGGCAAGTCAGACTGATTTATTAGCTGAACAGCCAGAGTACTATTAAAATCAGTGGATTTCATAGCTGACACCCATCCATTAGGGAACAAATAGTGTAACTGGGACAAGCCCAATATAGATTGAGTCTGGGACTCTTGCTATATTTATTATCTTCCTTGACTGCTTTGCGCCTTTTCTTCTATTAATTTCTGAGTAGGAATTTAGCAGCTATGGTAAAACAGGTTAATGGATCAGAGCAGTAATCCATGTCATCGGAGCAGAGAAGCACTTCATACACACGGCTGTCCTCAACTTCCAATTGAGAAATTTGTTCTAAATCCAAATAAGTTGCTGAATTTTCCTTCTAAGAGCTTCAACAATAATGTGTTTTATCAGAGTTGGCCCAACTCTCTTCGATGTCATGCAGAGGCAACCCTAAATGAATGCAAACCTTAAAGGGCTACGAAAAGCAGACGAGCAGAATAAGGAAGCGGTTATAAGACACACACTCAGTCTTGCTTCTTTGGCTACGGTATCAGTGGAGTTTTGATTGAGATACTTACGGAACCAGACGTACTGCTGAAGACTTTTCTCTTCCAGGTTATGCTGTGTGGAATGATCTGATGCTCAATATGGTATTTACAGTCCAAAGTATCCAAAACTTCCAGCAAGATATCAGAGCCAGGGTGCTCTAGAAGACCTGAAGAGAAAGCCTAACAAATTGATCATTTGGGTGGACCTCAACTCTACCACACGGTACTATGCGAAAAACCTTCCCCTCTAAATTCCCTCCTGGTAAAACATGGGAATGCAGCATGTACAGATGGATTGGTATAGTGATTAAAACATCAGGCTAGAGGTTGGGAGACTGAGTTCTAGTCCTACCTGGTGCAAAGCCAGAAGTGGGACTAGAACAAAGCTTTGCGCCCACCTGGCGCAAAGCCAAAGGAGTGACTTGGGCCCAGTGACTCATTACCCTAGGATAGCAATAGCAGTTAGACTTATATACCGCTTCATAGGGCTTTCAGCCCTCTCTAAGCGGTTTACAGAGTCAGCATATCGCCCCCACAGCAATCCGGGTCCTCATTTCACCCACCTCGGAAGGATGGAAGGCTGAGTCAACCTTGAGCTGGTGAGATTAGAACTGCTGAACTGCAGATAACAGTCAGCTGAAGTGGCCTGCAGTACTGCACCCTAACCACTGCGCCACCTCGGCTCTCTAGGATGGAGACCATGGCAAGCTGTTCACAAAAATCTTGCCAAGAAAAGCATCATTTTGGTGTAATGGTTAAAGGCACTGGGCTAGAAACGAGACTGTTTTTAAGTTCTGCCTTAGGTGTGAACAATAGCTGGGTTTTCTTCTGAAATCTTTTCAAGAAAGCTGCAGGGACCAGCGTAAAGGCACCAAAAATGCCAAACCAAAAGTGGAAAGGAATAAATCATGCAGTGTAAACATATTACCTGAATCCAAACAGACAATCATTTGCTTCATGCACTGATCAGGCCGAAGGAATTTCAAGGCAGCTGCTTCTTCTTTACGTCTCTCTTTTTCAGCTGCAATCTGCTGTTTTATCTTCATTTTCTCTTCTTTTTTATGCATGCTCTTCTTTTTTTCTTCTGTTTTTATCTGGGCCATCTTGTTTTTGTCCAGGGACTGCTTTTTCTTTTTTTTCTCCGGCCTTGAATCACAGGATACGGTTTGTGTCAATGGTACAAGCGAAGAAACTGCTTTTGCCTCAAGGAGAGCCATGCCCGGCTCTAATTTTTGTTTCTCTGAGCAGCCCCGAGCTCCAGCATCTGAATAAGTGGCAAAAGCGGTTGAGGATTCTGGTTTAACATCACTGTCTTCTTCAGAATCTGAGATTTCCCACGTGATCGCTCTTTTTCCATCAGGAGCAACAGTCTTCTTTTTCCTCTCCATGATTTAAGTTTACCCTCTTTCCAGTCTACATTATCAAGTGCAAATGTTAAATCAGCAACAATCACCCAACCACAGCTATGTTTGTAAAAATATCAAAAGCTGGGCATCATTTCATGAAAGAAAGCTTATAGATGTATTAGTGGTAAAAAACAACAACCCTACATTCTCGTCAATAATAAACAGGGCCAATGGTCATTGCTGAAACAATCGAAGTATCCTGGTTAAATGTTGGCTGCAAGTCAACAAACTCAATTTGATCACAAAGCCAGGGTCACTTGATCTCCTTTCATTAATAGAGAAAGCTCCCCCCCCCAAACTAAGTCATAGCTAAATGATCTCTCACAATTTGGATCCTGTGGATATGAATACTGTCAACAGAAGCTTATTTATAGAACCTCTGCCCCTGAAGTCTCTACGCTTTTTTGTTGTTGTGGCTTATGCAGCTGAGCAAAACTTTTCCCCATCACTAGGCATTTCTACCAATGCAGCAACAGCTGATCAAGTGTTTTATCTGGGTCGCTTGTAGTGGGAGATCGCTTGGGGGTGGGAGGGGAAATAAAAGGCAGCCGCACGTCCAGAGTCTCCCTCAGCCATATCAGCTACGGCAATTTCAAGCCTGGAAACGACATAAGAGAATGCATTTCATTAGCAAAGACGGGTATTATAGGTTACGTATCATTCCATCCATCCTGGTCCCTATTGAGAAAAAGGCTCTTCGAAGCAACCCTTTTACTACTTGGAGCTCGACAAAACGACCATTTCGCCGAAGAGGAAAAAAAAGGAACCATATACGAGAAGAAGCAAAGCAATCGGGATCATCCTTCAAAAAAATAAAATCGTTTTGGGAAAGGAGCGGAAGTGTTGCCTGCCGGATCGTTTATAGCGACGGCCCGCCCTTTTCACCAGCGCCTACTCTACTCTCTGTCTAACCTAGGGCCGGAAGCAAAGGAGCGACTGTGTGTGGGCGGCCGGATGATTTATTAGGGACGGACCAACCTCGGCTGAATTTGAAAAAAAAAAAGGATACCGAGGCGGAAGTGTTCCTCGCCGAGCGTCTATGAGGTTGCACCGTCCCTGCTGGAGCGTCTTGCGAAGGTTTGGGATTCAAGCAAAGCCTGTGAAGAGGGGCGGAAGTGAGTCTTGGGGGAGGATTTAGGGAGGGGGACCGCTCTTGTTCGCAGCGGTGCCTTTGAGTCGGAGCCAGAGGGTGAAGCGCAGGGCTGCTTAAAAGGAGCGAGGTGTTTGCTGGGCTGCGTGGCTTCTTTGGTCTCCCCAACAACAACAACCCCGCGAGGTAGGCCGTCCGACTCAGAGCCGGTCAAGGTTTTGCTGGACAGCCATGTGTCTCTCCTGCTCTAGCAGGGGGTTGGACTAGATGACCTCCAAGGTCCCTTCCAGCCTTATTATTATTATTATTATTATTATTATTATTATTATTATTATTATTATTATTATTATTATTATTATTATTATTAT